GCATGTCGGATCGGTCCGGGAAAGGCTTCAAATACCCATTGACTCGTTCTGACCGGCCAAATGCTGGCCATGAGCTGCATTTTGTTAGCATACACTTTGTATCGAGCCCGAGAGCCATACTATAGTAGTACGACCATTCCGATATCGAGACGGAATCGAACGAGTTCAGCAAGATCTCCTCATTGGGCGTCAAGGCTGGAGGGAAGACGGATTGCCTCTTGACATGCTTATGCGGGTGATGGAAGAATGCACGTTCACGCTGACAGGCTTGAGCGCCAATGGCAGCGAGCGCTAGAAGTGCTGTTCTCATATTGACTGACAAATGCACACTTCACAGAGACAGAAGGGTACCGAACAACGATAGGTTGCATGGTACTTTAAGTACTTGCAGGCAGTTCCGTCGGCGTTCGGTACGATAACGTCAAGGCTTCCATTCCGAGGATAGCTGCTTCTACTGAACCTGGCGAGTTCCCTGCTCTCTCGTGCCATCGTATCCCGACATGCGGGTAGCTGTAGCTGGACGCAGGCACTGCGTAACCGCGAGGTATACAGGCAATTGGCTAACGCACTCCGGAAGGTCGAAGAGATATGAACGCGGGGCGGAGCATTAAGGTGCTTGGCAGAGAGGAATGACGATATAGGTGGTGGGGTAGCTTCTAAAATGAGGAAGAGATGCCGCTTCGATGCACGTATCTTCTGCGGTCAAAATCTGACGGTCAGATAGCAGATCGGAAAAGTGCGCATACCGACGCCGCCGTTCCGTGCACGTCGCCAGAGGCTGACCCGAAAGCCGTCCGAAGAAAAGTAACGGTGGTGGAAAGTATAATATGGTTCTGCGTAGACGGCACAGAGCAGAGGATGGCCGGTTGAAGTTGAATGCGGGGGAGTGCGGAGACGCGTGATGGGCGCGTCCTTATTCCGCGATGCACTTGGCAGCGTAGAAGAGACAGAATTAGAGCTCAGGAATGATGAACGGAGCATCTCACTTATATGTTTTCTGCGGTCCATCAAGGTACCATCTCAATGCGATGTCACGCAATGTTGGTGAGGGCGCAGGAGTCGAGTCCGAAAGTGATCTACGGCTAGCACGCTTTTGGGCTTAGTCATATCGAAAGGCGGGTGAACCAATGCAAGAGTGCACGGCGCAAGATGTTCGGCGAAGACTGCGTCAGTCAATAAACATTGGGCTGCCGGCAGCGCAAACACGGCGGCAACAGGAAGGAGACAAAGGACACGATTTACTGACCGTCGCATTGATAGCGACAAAGCCAGCCGCACCTTCTCTGTCTGAGACTCGTCTCCTTTGTACCTTCCTTGTCACCAGTCGCTCTTTCAACTTTTGTCAACCGCCATCATGGATGTCTTTCGGTCGCCTATGCGCATGATCCCGCCCCTCACGCCCCGTCGCGTCCCATCACCAGCCATGTCACCCGCCGGCAGACGAGGCAGAACGTATGGCAGCTCGGAAGAGACCCGCCTCCGCGACCTGTCGCCCGAGACGACCCTCCGCGCCTTCACACAAAAGCCGATGCCGTTCGACACAACACGCGACAAATACAAAATGTTTTCCTGCATCGAGACTCTCACCGCCGCCGAGAGAGACTTGGGATCGCGCGTCGCAAAGGCTGCGCAGCGGCTGAAGATATGGTGCGCCGAGATTGAGCAATGGGGGTGGTCGGGCAGCTTCGAGCAGCCCAGCGCCCAGGTCCGCGAGCAGAGGAGGAAAAGCATCGAGCTGCGCATCAGGGAGCACGTCGCCGATTCCGACATGGGCAATGTCATGCCGCCATTAGAATACTGGGGTTCGATGCTGTCGGTCGAGGTGGAGCAACACGAGGCGCGCCTCGACGACATCGCCGACGAGATGCTGAAGCTTGATGTCGAAGAGCTGAAGGAGCACGTGCTGGATATGCACCCGGCAGGCAGGTCGAGGCCGTCCTCTGCGGGCTACGAGGCCAATCGCCAGCACTACAAGGTCATGGACGACTTCTCCTTTCTCATCACCCAGACCCTCCTATCCGCCCTACCGCACCACGCCCAGCTCAAAGCCCGCCTAAGCACGTGGACCGCCCGCGTCTCGATCCTCCGCGAAGCCCCGCGTTACACCAGCGAACTCGATACGGCGCAAGAAGCTATGCGGCTAGGCTGGGATGCCATCGAGGCGCCAGCAGACACGTCCGACGCTGCATTTGAGCAGTGGAAAAAGGCAGTAGACACCATATCGCTTGTGCTTCATCAGAAGGTCAGCGACTTGGGGAGGCAACTAGACAAGATGCTCGATACACTCGAAGGACAGGAAGACAGTCTACCCGAGCACTGGATAGACGTCTTTGAAACTACAGAAGATGACTATGGGCAATGGAAACACGAATCAAGAAGGAGGATAATCGATCTCGAGGTTCGGAGACGGGCGGAAGGTTTTAACACTACCGAGAAGGGCGCCCCTGAACCTGCGCTACAACCAGAGGTCGATGCGGGTACGACTGCACATACAAGCGGCGAGCGGGTATTGACAACAGCATCCTCATCAGCCAATGCTGGTAACGATGTGTCCATTGTCGCACCCACTGCGGCTGTGCAATCCGCTACTACGTCCAGATTGGATGCTCTCAATGCTCGAATCGACTCTGTCGCATCTACACTCCAATCGCCACCACCGAAGCTTGCTTCGCAGAGCAGCCACCACAACGCTATGCAGGATGACTACTTCAGTGCGCCCCAGCGTGGGATCTTCTCTGGAGACTATGCCATGAACGCATCGAGCAGCAGCAACTCAACACTTCATACCTCCATCGGCTCCAGCAACGCACGACAAGTCTCGGGTGAGACCGATGTTACCGAACACGGGCTGGCACAAGGTTTCGCGTCACCATCGAAGTCCCCTACTGCGACCACACATCTAGAGAAGATGAGCTTCGAACCAGGACCGGAATCTGTTGACGAAGACTCGGAGTTCGAAGAAGGCGACACTGTTGTACAGTACGATCTCGATGAAGGCCCCAAAGAAGTCGCCATCCATACAGAGACTGACGGTCATTCATCCCAAGCCTCTTTACAAGGCAGGCCCAAACCTCTGACGCTTTTCGGCAATCCCACGATTACAAAGAACGATGGACAGGACAGCCCCGTTATGGAGCCTCCTCAAACGCCGCGATCATGGAGAGGCAGTCTTAGTTCGCTGTCCACAGATATGTCGCCTGATTCAAGCCCACCTAGTACCATCGAGGAGTCTCCTTCAGTCCGAAACGCCACCAACCGTTCTATGAGAGCGCCACGTCCTGAACTGAATGCAGCCATGGCGAAGCGTCGGCCAGTCAAGACCACTACCACTGCTGATGACACATCAAGCGCTCCATGGCCACCGACGCACTTTGCTCAGAAAGCTAACAACAGCGCTGAAGAACTTGAGCGAAAGATCTCCGACATCCTCACGACTATCCCCGCCCACATTAGGCTTAGGTCAGGCCCAGGCCCCGATGCGCCCGAAGTCAAGTCGGCGCGTGGCCTTCTCGCGAAAAGTAGTCGTGGATATCTACGCGCAGCTCGCTCAGTCAGCGGCCTCAAGTCGCCTGAGCTCACACTGTCCCCTGCAAAGACAGAATTCGAGTTGAACAACGCTGCTTCAGGACGGAGGTCGGCTGCAGCTGCGAGAGGCGACAACGACATCAAGCTGTATCATCTCACACAACCTGGCAAAGAACAGCCGATCAAGCTGTTCATCCGCCGCGTTGGCGAGAATGGCGAGCGTGTCATGGTGCGTGTCGGCGGTGGTTGGTCTGACCTAGGCGAGTACCTGCGCCAGTACGCCGAGCACCACGGCCGCAGGACAGCAAGCGAAGGCAAATTCGAGGTACTGGGTCTGGAGGTGAAGAACCCCGATAGTTCGCCGACGAGACCTGACAGCAGGGCGAGTAAGATAGAAAGACGCATCAGCGTTGGCTTTCCTCTGGCCAGCCCATCCACCACACCCGTCAAGTCATCTGGTCTAGCCTTTACAAGCGACGAAGCGCCACCGCCGATGCCCAGCTTTATTTCTGGGACACCAAGTGCCACTACTGAAGACCCGACGATACCCTCGACAACTTCGTCTCGCAGTTCCTGGCAGGGTAGGGAAGTCGGAATGGCGGGCCCATCAGCCAAGAAATTGGATCTCAGCGGCGAGAAGCTGGAGTGGATTGAGGGCATGATGAAGCAGGCTCGCACCGTGAGCAGCAACGTCATTACCTCAAGCCATCCAAATTTCGAGCGCACCGACAGTAGGAGTGACAGTCGCCCTGGCAGCGCTGTAGGGGGAAAGAAGACAGAATTTGGTGATTTAGGCAAGGTTGGTGCGACCAAGCGTGTCTTTATGAAGGGTGGTAAGCCCGGTTTGGGCGATCACTAGGTGAAAGAAAAAGAGAGAGAGAAGAGGTGGCTTTTAATATTCTACATTGATACCCTGGGCCTATATATTGTATTGTACTTTTTCTCGTTTGTTCACGGTTGGATCGGATTGGTACAGTTGGGTTCGGTTTGGTTTGGGCGTATGGTATCGCAGAGCAATGCCATTATAGACGGGCAGGCTTCGCAGCATATCTTAGCTGAGGTACATACCCCATGGCGTTATTTGGGATTCATAGATGGCAGCGTCACTAGCAAGTGATGAAGGGGGCGCGCGATTTCATTTGTGATTCCCAAGAATTAATTCATTACAAGTTTTGATAAGATGTGCCAAAGGCCTGTTTTCGTTCAAGCCACAGAGAGGATGCTCCAGGAGCAGGCAAGGTAGACGAAATGAGTGCCAATGGCAGGTAGCTCCACGTTCCACAAAGCCGACGAGCACAAAACGCGCAATGTCGATATGGAGGTCGTGGGCTGGTTCGATCTTCGCACGTAGACTAATCGACACAGTATTGAGGAATAACTTGTGGCAATTTAAGAAAGTGCGGAATTTGGAAAGTGTAGAACCAAGCATTGAGTGGAGGAAAACCGAAAAGCGACTGCATGCATTACAGTCATGGCTATTCGTCATCGTCATCATTGTCACCTTGGACATCCATGACACGCTCGCCAGCTTTCTCAAGCGTTCGGCGACTCCATACACGGACTCCTTTGTATACTGCCTGGTCATTGTCAGCATTTGCACAATAATGTTCATCGCTTTCCACGTACCGCTAGAAATGTGCCAACACCGATGAGGATGATGATCCAGCTGACCTGCTCATATCTGTCTCGACCGGTCGTTCGACCTCGACCGCCTCCAATCCTGAAGTAAGATAGTGGGCTGGCGATGAGGACTTTCAAGAAACCAAGCACACCCATGCTAGCGAAGCCTTTCGCAAAGTGCTCGTACCAAGTGGCCGACTCATCCTCGTAGTAATAAGCGTAGTCAGATTCCGACGAGGAAAAGGGGGAGAAAAGGCTCCATGGGTCCAGATACAGGTTGATGATAGGATCTGCAACGAAGCCGAGGATGAACACGATGGATATCAATATAATGGCAGTCAAACCAACCTGAGCAGCTATAGTCCATGTTAGCACTGCTCTTTTAAAGTCAAATGGAATACATACCAGTGCTGCCTATGAAACGCCCAACTCCTAAACGCGCAAGTCGGTACTTGAAGCCACAAGTGGGACACTGCCAATAGTTCCTACGCCCATAGCCAGGGTCTGCATGCCTCCAAGCTTGCAAACAAGCCTCATGAACATACTTGGATGATCCCTTACACATGCATGGGCGGATCAAACGGCCACTTTCATCTTCGTACACAACGTTGGACGACTGTAGGAAACCAGGAAGGCTTTGTGAGGGAACATTGAATGTCGGCTGAACTGTCTCGAGGCAGATTCTGCATTGTCTGGGCGGCCAGTGGGTACGTCTCGAGCTGTGCGACTGCGATGAAGAGTTGTCGCTAGTATTGGAGGTCGCTGAAGGTGGCGGTTGCGATGTGGAACCTGTGGAGGAGGATGTCGCGTGGGCGGGTTCTGTCTTGGGCGCGTCATCAGGCCAGTACCAGCCTGGCATGGCCTGATATCCAGACGAAGAAGACATGGCGGGGTGTGAAACTGTAAAGGTACAAGGCGGAGGTTAATGCAGCTCTTACCAGTAATATAGCATGTGGGTAGGCATGAGATGACGAAGTGATCAATCAGGAAGCCGCGGGGAAGACATTCGCCAACTTAAGTGTCTCGGTAGTGCGGATCATGTTCCGACACCGCCTCCTTGGGCGGTATGACACTAGGGCCACGGTGGCAGGATGTTGTAAACGGGGTGGTGATGCAGAGGAGCAGTTCTGGAAGCTCAAAGAATTCGGGGTTGCAGCTTCCTCAGACAAACCGGAACTGTGGTTACGCCGAGCGCCGGTCTTGGCGCTTCCGGCGACGAAGCTCTGGGTAGCCTGGAGCTCTAGCAGATCGCCTCCAGTACCCGCGTCGTCTACCAACCCCACTGAACGTCCTCCCGCCGCCGACTACGCCCCTTCCTATATACCGCCTCTAGATTTTGTCAAGCAACCGTCATGGCGGACCGATACTCCTTCTCCCTGACCACTTTCTCCCCCAGGTAAACACTGCGCTATCGATTACGCACGACATGTTTGCTAACATTCATGTAGCGGAAAGCTGGTACAAATCGGTACGCGGCCCAGGGATATGACGATTCCCGCCTTCTTGTAGCAGACAGCATCTAATACCTGAACAGAGTATGCCTTGAACGCCGTCAACCAGGGTGTTACCTCACTAGGAATCAAGGGTGCGTTATATCGTTCATTAGCCCCCCAACAGCGCTGACTAGAGCTCGCAGCCACCAACGGCATTGTCCTCGCTACCGAGAAGAAATCGTCATCGCCGCTCATCGACTCGCAATCGTCATCGAAGATCAGTCTCATAACACCCAACATCGGTATGGTCTACTCGGGCATGGGTCCTGACTACCGCGTTCTCGTCGACAAGGCTCGCAAGGTCTCACATACCGGCTACAAGCGCGTCTACAACGAATACCCACCCACAAGGATATTAGTACAGGATGTGGCGCGAGTGATGCAGGAGGCTACACAGTCTGGAGGTGTCAGGCCGTACGGTGTCAGTCTGCTGATTGCTGGATGGGACGATGGTATCGAACCTGAGGCCGAAGGCAAGAGCGAAGAGCAGACGAGCGAAGAGAAGAAGAAGGTCAGCGGAAAGACTGGTGGAATCCTCAAGGGCGGACCAAGTCTCTACCAGGTCGACCCCAGCGGCAGTTATTTCCCTTGGAAGGCTACGGCCATAGGAAAGAGCGCGACAAGCGCCAAGACCTTCTTGGAGAAGCGCTACACCGACGGTCTCGAGCTCGAAGACGCCATCCATATCGCCCTGCTCACCCTCAAGGAGACCATAGAAGGAGAGATGAACGGCGAGACCGTTGAGATTGGCATTGTCGGACCGCCAGAGGAGAGGCTGCTTGGTACTGAGGGTGTCGAGGGAGCCGTCGGACCGCGATTCAGGAAGTTGAGCCCGTCCGAAGTTGAGGACTACCTCACCAACTTGTAGAGGTAGAAGGTTATGACACAGCACCATCCTGCTCCGAGTCGGTACAGATGGACTTGGTGCTAAGGGCATGAAGCGACTTATGTAGCATATACGAAAATGATGTCTTGAAATGCCTAATACTTGATCCCATTGGTTCGTAGACAGTGACGCGACAAACCCAATTGGGTTGTTGTGCAACAACGAGAGCAGATAGAAGTACGTGAGGGGTTCTGCATTTCGATTGTCCGCGGTCAGAACACGGCCAAGCTAGCACCCTGTCGCCTTTGAGCACTGAGACCCAACACCAAGTTGGTGACTTTCAACGCTTTTTAACTTGTGTCGCATCATCTCGATTTACAAATGGATTCGCCAATGCAAGATGATAACGATGCTGAAGCCCCTCCTGCTGTGCCCAGTGAGGCGTTCCAACTGCGAGGTTATCAGGCTGAGATGGTGGAAGAGAGCATGAACGGCAACGTCATTGTGGTCATGGACACAGGCTCAGGAAAGACGCACATGTAGGGAGAAGAATTTCGCTATGAGAGAATTTTACTGACAAGTTTGCAGAGCCATCGAACGGACACGAGCGGAGTTGGAGACGTGCGAGCCCGACAAGGTACGGATACCTGCCGCTAAGTCCCCACACTAAACTTCATCTCACCGAATTCGGGACGCATTTTAGATCGTCTGGTTTCTAGCACCCACAGTTACACTATGCGAGCAGCAACATGAGGTCTTCCAGTCTCATTTACCTGGACTCGGATACCAATTGCTTTGCGGAAGAGATGACGTTGATCTCTGGACCACTCAGGCGCAGTGGGACAGCGTTTTGGATCACATCCGCATCGTAATTTCAACACACCAGTAAGTCCACAGCATGGGCGCAAGAGAAGCCACACGCGCCTGCTGATACGTTTGCAGGGTATTGCTTGACGCACTCACACACGGATTTGTTAAGCTGAGCAAGCTGGCTTTGTTGATTTTTGACGAAGGCCAGTCTGTTGCGTTGACAAGAGAAGGCCCCGCTAACATTCTGCAGCGCATCACTGTACTTTGAAGCACCCAGCAAATCTGATCATGTCCAATTTCTATATGCCTCAATTGGATAATGGTGGCAAGTCGCTGCCCAAAGTTCTTGGGCTGAGTGCAAGCCCTGTTATGAAAGCAGCAGCCACCGAGCAGGGTCTCCAGTAAGTTTGGCTTGTTTGGACGCGGGTACTATTCTGATCTTTGTAGGGAGATAGAGCGGAACCTGCACGCCACCGTAAGGACACCAAAGCTTCATAGGTCCGAACTCATACGGCATGTTCACAGACCGGAGTTACTTCAGGTCAACTACTCGTTAAACGTTCCAGGGCAACAGCATTCTCAACTACTTATCGCGTTGCAGCATGCATTACGCACATATGATCTTGCAAAGGATCCGTACGTCGTCGCATTATTGGACCAACAAAAGCATGGCTTCGATGTCTCTCGCCAGCTGAACAAACTGTGGAATAGCAATAAGACTTATTGCCTCGACCAGTTGAAACAGCTGGTGTCTAAAGCTGAAGCCATGGCAGACGAGCTCGGAATCTCGGCAATGGAGTACTACGTACACCAATGCATTGGCAAATTCGAAAAGACAACTTGCGGCTCGGATCAACAACTACTGGATTTGACCACCAATGAGCGACAACATCTCCTGAGCATATTCCAAGGCCTTCCCCTTCAGAATCCTGCACCTTCACCTGCTACCATCATCGAGAAGATGTCCCACAAAGTTGAAAAGCTTATCGACACTCTGGTCGCTGAAGCCAATGGCACCCCAGGCTTTACCGGTCTTGTATTCATTGAACAGCGAGTCTGGGTAGCATCAATTGCTGAAATTTTAGCATGCCACCCACGAACCAAGGATCTGTTGCGGGTAGGGACATTTGTCGGTACGTCGCAGACAAGCAAGCGCAAAACAAACGTATGCGCCCTGGCAGAACCAGCCAACCAACAAACCACGCTTGACGACTTCCGTGCTGGGGTCATTAATCTCGTCCTGGCTACAACTGTTCTTGAAGAAGGCGTCGACGTATCTAGTTGCCATCTCGTGGTATGCTTCGAAAGACCCAAGAATCTGAAAAGCTTTGTTCAGCGACGCGGAAGAGCGAGGCGACAAGAGTCGCGTTACTTCATTCTCGTCCCAGATACTGGCGAAACACGATCTTTAACATCGTGGCAAGGGCTTGAAGCTGAGATGAGGAGAGCGTATGAAGACGATAAGCGCAAAGTTCAGGTGGCTCAGGAGGCAGAACAGAAGGACGAGGTGGGTGAGCGCTACTTCAGTGTCCCAAGTACCGGGTGAGTGAGAAGCCTTTACTAGCAGCGTTTGCTTTCGTACCTTGCCCAATCGGCCTTCACTTACTGGAGACACTAGTGCATTGCTGACTCTGGATAACGCGGCTCAACATCTCTACCACTTCTGCGCGCGTTTAGGGGGCAACGCCTACGTCGACACGCGACCTGAAATCGACTTTACCAACACCCTGGGGCGGATCACTGCTACTATTACGCTACCAATTTCTGTCGACCCTACTGTAAGGAAAGCTAAGAGTCTGCAGTCGTGGAGCACCGAGCGAATGGCTCAGAAAGACGCCGCCTTTGAGGCATATAAGGCTCTTTACCTGCACGGATTGGTAAACGAGAATCTACTCCCCGTCCAAGAAGAGGGAGACGACAACGCGGCCCAATACCAGATTCCAGACGATCGCCCATCCCTTGTACCTGTTTCTCAAACTCTCGATCCGTGGGCGGTGGTTGCGCAATCTCATGAATGCGAACCTGACTTATGGTACCGCACCTTGCTTGAGGTGAAGACGCCAGGGGAGGAACCGATGCGCATGATACTACTAACACCAGCTCCCATGCATGAGATTTCTAATATCTTACTGCACTGGAACGAATCGAAGCAGTACACTGCTACAACCTCCGCTCTTTACGGTGCATCTTTGGTCGACATCGACATTGATCTGTTACGCTCCATCACGTGGAAGATTTTGCGCTCGGTTTTCGGAGCACACATCATCAAAGGGGTCGACGACTTTCTCTGTCTACTTGCTCCATGCGACTCATCGGGATATATGATGACAGAGAACGAGCTCTACGAATGGAATGCGACAACGGAA